TCATCTACCACAAGAAACTCTGGATGATATGAACTGTGTTGTCCTTAACTCCCGTATATTTCCTCCCTCAAGACATGCCAATATTCCATCATTTTCTAAGATAACTATTAAGTTTGTCTTTTACGAATGAATCTCTTCTGTTTTCTCTCTAAGTTCACACCTATATTTCGTCTACCAGGTAAAAAGATTGACTTCTCCATAAAACTAAAGATCTTGTTCTCCTGGTAGGGTCGTGTCCTCTGCCTTGCTCCTGCTGGTGTGTGGTAGTGACTCCTCCTCCGTCAGGTGCCCCCCCCCCTCCCTGCTAAACACTGTTGACACAGCCTCCTGCCAAAACTCGCTTTTAATCAATTGCAATATGAGTCGCTTTGAAATGGGATATTACTGTTAGATGGTCCCCGTTGTCGCAAGGTAGAGAGAGAGAGAGACAGACAGAGAGAGAGAGAGAGAGAGAGAGAGAGAGAGAGGTGTACCGTATGTGAAGGGAGAGGAGGAGTGAGGTAGGGTGCAGGCATGCATTGAGTGAGAGGTGTGTGGGAGAGCAGGTGTAAATGTGTGGTAGTGCAGGTGTGTGTGTGTGTGTGTGTAATAATAATAATAATAATAATAATAATAATAATAATAATAATGATTAACGGTTTATTGAAAAAGTTTGCAGCCCGAAGTCTGAAAATATACATTGGACATAAATGACTTATTACATATATTGGTGGTTTAACAAAAGTCTTCATCAGAGAAAGGTAAAGGAACATACAGTGAACAAACAGATTAATGTTTACAGCGGAGGTCACGTAGGTCATGTGCGCTGAGGTGAACAGCAGACACATAGTGTAGTAACTCCCTCACAGGTGGTGTGTGATAAGAGAGTTTGAAGAAGTTACAACAGGGAGGGAGGTGGTAAAGAGAGAGAGAGAGAGAGAGAGAGAGAGAGAGAGAGAGAGAGAGAGAGAGAGAGAGAGAGAGAGAGAGAGAGAGAGAGAGCACATTACAACTTTACTACTCAATGTTGTGACTCGAATCAAGATGTTTATATCACTTCAGACCCTCTCCTCGCCTCCCCTCTCCAACCCCTCTCACTCTCTCTGTCCTCCAACCTCTCTCACACACACTCTCTCTCTCTCCACAAGACACTCACACACTCCACGCACTTATAAACTTATAGAAGGACTCGAGTGTGGTGGTAACTTTACGTGAATGGTAAATCGATTTGTATGATCCCTTTTTCGAATCTTTTTTTGCCAACTCTCTTAGTGACTGTATTTGTGGCCTCTGTAAACCACTCATGTGCACCTTATATGCACGTACACACTGTGCGCTCTCTGTACACACACTCACTGTACACCTAGTGCGCCAAGGATTGTGTAATCTGCTTGTTTATTCCTCCCTCCCCCCCCCTTTTCCTCCCTCTCTCCCTCCCCCCTTCTCTCCCACCTTTCCTCCTTCTCTCCCTGCCTGGCCAACCTTTCTTCTCACGACCTGGTGTGTGTGTGTGTGTGTGTGTGTGTGTGTGTGTGTGTGTGTGTGTGTGTGTGTGTCTGTGTGTGTGTGTGTGTGTGTGTTTCTTTGAGTGTCCCTTTGTTATTTATGTTTCTGTCTGTCTCTGTTATTAATTTTCTTCCACACACACACACCTCCCCTCTCCCCCCCCTTCTTCTCCCCCTACCCCCTCTTATTCACGGTCTTTTCTGAGTGAGACCAAAAAATAAACAGTTTTAGCAATTAAGGTGCCGTAACGGGAGACAAGAGCCCTTGGCAATAATAATCAGGCATCTCACTCACTCACTCTTTCCCCTTCCTTCCCTTATTCCCCTTTTCTTTCCCCTTCCCTTCCCCTCTTTCTCCTCTCGTCCCTTCTTTCTCCCCCTCCTCTCTATCTCCTCCTTTCCCTCCCTTTGCCTTCTTTCCTCTCTCTCTCTCTCTCTCTCTCTCTCTCTCTCTCTCTCTCTCTCTCTCCTCCACTTCCCTCTTCCTTCTCCATCCCTCCTCTCTCTCCCACTCCCCATTCCCCCTTTCTCCCCCCTTTCCTCTCTCTCTCTTTCTCCTCTATCCATCCTCCCTTCCCCGATACACTTTCCGGTAACCCCCCTCCCCCGTTATAATGATTCAGATCCGACTCTATAGGTGTTGGATCCGATACTATTGGGATTGAATCCGATAACAGAGAGGTTGGATCCGATGGCAAACTCGTTGGACGTGAGTGTAAATCTGACGACAAAAGGTCTGGATCCGATACCAAACCCGCTTTAGGAAGGGGAATTGAATCCGATATCAAACCTACTTTAAGGAGGAGTTGGATTCATTAGCAGATCCACTTTAAGAAGAGGCTTTGAATCTTATACCAGACCCGTTTTAAGAGGGATTTCATTGGCTTCAAGAGGGATTTGATCTGCTTTAGAGGGGTTGGATCCACTATCAAGAGGGGGTTGGATTCGCATTAAAGAGGGGGGTTGGATTCACTTTAAGAGAGATTGGATCCACTTTAAGAGGATCTGATTCGTTTTAAGAGAATGGGATCCGCTTTAAGAGCAGCGGATCCGCTTTAAGAGGATCGGATCCTCTTCAAAAGTGAGTTTGATCCACTGTAAGAGGATCGGATTTGCTTTAAGGGGATCGGATCCGCTTTAAGAGGATCGGATTCACTTCAATAGGGGGTTGGATCCGATACCAGACCCTGCACGAGAGGGTTGCAGATCAAGAGAGATAATGGGCTAGGGGACTGAGGCGATCCTGGGCCGGGGAGCCAATGATGTTAATGAGATTGAACACTGTTCTCTGTTCTATCTCTCTCTCTCATCTCTCTCTCTCTTGTCTTTTATACGCTGAATGTCTCTCTCTCTCTCTCTCTCGCTGGCTTTCTCTCTCTCTAACCTACTGTCGCTTACTTGTGTGTGTATGTGTGTGTGTGTGTGTGTGTGTGTGTGTGTGTGTATAGTTCGTCAACACGTACACCCCCAACTACCCTACGGCCTCACCTCAACATCCAGCAGTTGGTCTTAAACATCTATAAAAAATCACGTTCTTAATTTACACAGATTAGTGCAAGAAAAACTAGCAAACAGAAAACGAAAAAAATAACAAAGTAAATCTGCCGACACAGATTAACTACAGATTCTGAAGTATGTTTTGAAGCCCAGATTTTTTAGATTTAATTCGCTACTTATGACTTTTTTCATATACATATCTAAGTGCTTTAAAAAAAAAGTACCCGGGGCATGTGTTTAACTCGGTGCTTTTATGGTAAAATTCTTGCGGGTAATTCGTGGTTTTTGTTTATGTGTGTTTGAATCGCAAGGAATTTTGATCGTCATTTGTTCTCCGTCGTCAGAATCAACCAATCACAGAGTTGATATACCTTAATTACCTTATACTCTATCGTATCTCTAGTCTTTGTTTCTTTCACTTCTACACTATTTGTTAGTTATTTTTATTAGTGTTGTTATTGTTCTCTCTCACCCCCACATTTACTCTCACTCCCTCCCCTTCATCATCCCTTCCCTCCCTCTCTCCCTCCCTCCCCCTCTCACCTCACCTCCCTCTCTCTCCCCTTCACCTCTCCCCCCTCACCTCTCCCTCTCCCCGGGTAAGTGTTGTGGTGTTGAGGATGTCTCGATGTCACAGGTAGACGGCTGCTTCTGCGATTATTGATCTGGTAATTACGTCTGTCAGTAGCGGTGCACAATGTTCCTGTTACCTGTTCCGCCCCTGTTGTTGTTGTTATCGGTGCTGTTATCGGTATTCTTGGTGGTTTTATCGGTCGTAATGGTGGTGTTATCGGTAAAGCTAGTGTTGTTATATTAGTAATTACTTTTCAGGATAATGTTGTGTCCTTGTTACCGCTGCGACTCTGTAAATATCTCCTTACTAATGTCATTGCTGTATTTGTTGCCTCACTGATGTCTTTGTTGTTCTTGTCATTAACTTAATATGATTGCGTTAGTGTCCGTTGTAGGATGGTAGTTAATTTTTTCCCCAATACTAAGGTTTGTCACGTGGTTTGGAAAATGGCAGATGAAATGTGGACAAATGTAAAGTACTTAGTCTAGGAGATGTAAACAGAGAAACCAGATATCAGACGATCAACGTTTTTATAGAGAAATCCGACTGTGTGAAAGATTTAGGAGTAATGATAAGTAGGAATCTAAAACCAAGTCAACAATGTGTATTTGCTAGAAACAAGGCTAACAAAGTACTTGGGTTCATACAAAGGAGTGTTAGTTACAAGACTAGCGAGGTCATCCTAAAACTATATCTTGCGCTTGTGAGACCTCACTTGGATTACGCAGCTCAGTTCTGGTCACCGTATTACAGAATGGATATAGAATCCCTAGAAAGAATTCAGAGGAGAATGACAAGACTAATCCCGGGCATTAGGAACCTTGAGTACAGAGACAGGTTAAAGCATCTTAATTTGCACTCCCTCGAGAGACGTAGAGCGAGGGGCGACATGATCGAGGTGTATAAATGGAAGTCAGGGCTAAACAAAGGGGACATTACAAAGGTACTCAAACTATCCAACCAGGAGCAAATTTGTAGCAATGGTTTTAAATTAGACAAATTTAGATTTAGGCGCGAGATAAGTAAACATTGGTTTGGAAATAGAGTAGTGGATGAGTGGAAAAAGTTACCAAATATCATCATTAACTCGAATGCGCTGGATAGCTTCAAACATAGGATGGATGGATATATGAGCAATAGGGGTTGGGTGTAAATAGGACTGCCCAGTATGGATCAGTAGGCCCGCTGCAGTTTCCTCCATTCTCATGTTCTTATGTTATGGGTGTTTATCGTGTCGTTGTTGTGTTTGTCGTGTCAGTAATGTGTTTGTTTTGTGCTTGTTGTTAGTGTTTCGTGGTTGGTGGCGGCAAATAACGACTGTGTATATATCCTTGTTACGAAATGTTGTTGTTGCCGTGTTATACTCAAAGTGTCGTTGTTGTGTTTGTCTTGTTAGTAATGTATTTGTCGCGTCATTAATGAATTTGTTGTGTTTGTTGTTACAGTCTCGCGGCTGATGGGCGGCTCCAACATGAACATGAATATGGGGAACGTGACGTCGCTATCAACATGTAGTATGGGTGACAACAAAGCGATGCAGTTCCCCCTCTCACAGCGCAGAAAACGTAGGATCCTCTTCACGCAAGCCCAGGTGAGTCCTCCCCGTCCCCCTCCACTATCACACCTGTTACACACTTACCCACACTTACAATACACTTGTTATATTACTTACTACCACACCTGCTTTGACCTATTATACACCACTGACCTCTCGACCTCCTTCAACAGGTGTATGAGTTAGAACGACGCTTCAAGCAGCAGAAATACCTATCAGCGCCTGAGCGAGAACACCTGGCCTCTCTCATTAACCTCACGCCGCAACAGGTAAGGATGATTCACCTTCGGTCATGTCATGTCAAGGTACGATGTGAATAGCGGGACAACAACAGGTATAGGGTCATATCGTGTCATGTTAGGTTTATTAGTGACATGGTAGAAGGTTAGGTTAAGTGTCATGTCACGTCAGATTGAAGTGTTGTTAGGTCGTGTCATTAAGTGATCGTTATCAGGTTACATTAAGTTAAATTAGCCCTGTGCGTAGGATGAGTTAATCCCGTGAATACAATTATCATCGTACTCGAGGGATTAATCTATTGTACTCGAGGGATTATCATTGTACTCAGGGGATTAAGTCATTGTACTCTGCCTCAACTCTCCTCATCCTCCCTGTCTCTCATTCACTAGTTATTCCTCTTCCTCCCTCCCTTCTTCATCCCAACTCTCCTCCTATCTCCCTCTTCTTCCACCTCACCCACTCTGCTTTTCGTCTTCCCCTCCTTCCCTTCCTCCCAGCCACCTTCATCACCTTCCTTCCTTTGCCTCCTCCTCCACTCACTCTCTCCCTCCGCCTCCTCCTCCCCTTTTCTCCCAGCCATCCTCATCACCCGACTCCTCCCCTTCCTCCCAGCCGCCCACCTCCCCCCCCCCACCCCTCCCTGATCCTGACGTCTGATAACAAACTGTTAAAGTTGTAGCGTCGAGGTGACACCCTTGTTACCCCTCTATCTGATCCTACAGGGAGGGAGGGAGGGAGGGAGGGAGGGAGGGGGATAGAAAGGGGAGGGAGGGAGGGGGATGTAGGGGATAAGAAAGGAGGGATTGAGGAGGGAAGGAGGGGGGAGAAAAGGTGATAGGGAGGGGATGGAAGGAGGGTGAGAGAAGAGGAGATGGAAGGTGATGAAGGAGTAGAGACGGGGGTGGGAGAAGATGAGAGGAGAGGGAAGGATAAAATTGAAAGAGGATAAGAGCATGGTGAGGGTCATTTTATCTCGGTGTAGTAAGAGCTTTCCAGGAGAGATACGGATGCCTCTAAAACAGATGAGTGTGATCACTGTACCCACTTGAATGGAAGAGGCGAGGCTCTGACGGGAAGGTGGGAGGACTCCGATACCCTCAGACGGCGTGAGGGAAGGGCAGGGGGGGGGAGGGGGACACTTTCATATAGACAGCGACGGGACCACAGACGACCACAAAGTAGAATTGGTAACGAAGATATTATGTATGCAGATGACATTACTCAAATAACAACACATCAAGGAAAATCGCGAGCGTTACAGGTTGACAACACCAGGCGGGAATTAGAGAGGGTAAATAATTAAGAAAAACATTGGAAAATCCAAACCAGCCTCCTGAAATTCACAGTGATTCTTATGCAGAAGGAAAACCCATCCATTAGTAACCATTAATGCCCAGATAGAATACAAAAGCAAAGGCACCCTCCTGGGCCTGTATATATCCATGACAGGTTACTCCCATCATGTCCACACCAGGAAGGAAAAGGCAAAAAGAGAGCTGAGAAAACTATACCGCTTTAAAGCGCTTCCTGAGAAAATAAACTCCGCCTGGTGACATCATTTATCATACCGATATTAACTTACCCAGCAATACCTCTTCATACTATGAGCACCACTCAAATATTAAAATTACAGGTGGTCCAAAATGAAGCCCTAAGATTCATTGCAAGTGAAAGATACCCCTTCACCAGACCCAAAGCCGAGATACATAGAGACCTGAGAATAAAACCTACCAACCAGCAGCTGCACACCCTGGTCAGCAGTCTGTCAAAAGATAGAACGATCAGAGCAAGAACTCTTTCAAAGACTCCCACCAGATAACGACAACAACCATACATAGTTTCCAAAAATTTACCAAATCTCAAAAGGTCCATTACCACCCCCGATCTATACAGCCAGGCAATAGACATCCTCCCTAGACCAGCATCCGCCAGTAGGGTCGGCGGAATATGAAATAAGGCCCTCAAAACACCCATATATGGGGCAGGGTAGGATGTCTAGTGCCTGTACCGACAGACAATAACTAACCCATGACACAACCCTAACACACCATTAGCTTAGCTAAGCGGTCAGCCCGCCCTCTCTTACCTCCTCCTAAATTTCTTAAATTTCCGAACTATAACTTACCTTGTGCTGGTGGTCACGGGAACCCTGGTGTCGTACAGGGTCACCTCCTGGTACCTGTCTTGACACTTGTATGACACCTCTTGCTCCTTGACGACACTTTGCTGTACTCCATGACACATTTTACACCTTGCCATAGTTCAAGACACTTTGCAACACTTTACGACATTAATGGGACTTTACGACACTTTGAGAGGCTTCACAGCACTTCACGACACTTTTCGACACCGTATGACACTCTTGTACTGCTTGGAGACTTATAACTATTCGAGACTTTATGACACTTTGTCACTTTATGACACTATGGAACAATATAGGGCTTTTTACGGCACTTTAGGACACCTTGACACATTAGGACACCTTGACACATTAGGACATTTCATAACACCTCTGACACTTCATAGCACTTTTTTCATTGTGCACCGCATCTTACGACATAACGCGACACTTATTAGACTTAATGGCACTTTATCAGACCTACTGGCACTTAAAGGCACTCATAAAACTTTGTGAATATTACATGAATCCTTGTAACACCTTATGGCACTTTACGACACTTTATACCACTCTTATGACACGTATGGGCGTTTTTGGCGCCCACAACTACTTATAAGTATTCGTGACACAAACACTTTACAACACTTATAAACACTTTACGTTACTTACGAACACATTATGATGAATGTGATCACTACACAATACCATTGAAAACCTTACGGCACTTAAAAGCACTTTATGAAACTCAACACCAGCTTTGAGACACTTATAACTTCTTTAAGACACTTATAAACACTTTACTACACTGACGAACACTTTACGATACTTAACAGACCTCGTTAATTTCATTCTCTTCATCGGCTGTATGTTTGTCTGTAAGCCATCGTGCACGCCCTTACCGGCACCAAGGCAGAGACACCACTGAGGAGGTCTTGTCGTGTCAGAGACCTTTGTTGACAGTCTCGTGAAACCGAAACCACGAAACGAGACAGATTCAAAACCTAAGCGAACCGATCAAACCTCGTCCCAGTGTTATAATGGACTGAGTTTGGTTGTGTTTTACTTTAGAGATCTTTATCTGATCTAATAACAACATATTACACAAGATTATATGTCAATGTTTTAGTTCGTAATATGGTTCGTTTTGGGATGATTGAGTCTGATGTTTCGAAGAGCTGTTCCTGAAATCTTGAAACACTTACGTCATCGATGTCTCAAAGTGGTGTTAATTAACTGGTGACAAAATTATCCAGAATTGTTTACATTGTTTATCCACCCCCCCTTCCCCCCCACACCCCACTAGGCTTTGTTGTGGGTCGATGATCTGTACCTGGGTGGAATATTTCCTGTAAAAACAAACAACGATAGAACACATTTTAAAATATTTTCTTATTCCAAAAATCAACGCTTTCGGAGACGTGAGTATGTTGTCTCAGACCTAACCACCCAAACCACGACTAAACCAAAACTACCAACAGTCTCCACATATCTGTCTGGTTTAATATTCTACACAGACTACAGACAAACCAAAGAAAGACAATCACCTTAAACTTAATTCATAAAAGGAGTTTAAAATTAAGTTATCGTACTGAAGGGGTCAGTTTGGATAGCCACCTCGGTAACTAAAACGATCGAGAGGTTTGTTTATTTCTGGAGGTTGAGGGAGGGGAGGGGAGGAGGTTACAGAGAGGTTATCGGTTATGAATTTGGAGGCCGCTAGTCTGTGTGGCTTATAAGTGGCGTTGACTGTACCTGTGTGGACTATATTTAAGTGGTAAAGTGGATAATATTTTCTTGTGGGGGAAACTACTCATTAGATTCACTGGAGAGAGAGAGAGAGAGAGAAAGAGAGAGAGAGAGAGAGAGAGAGAGAGAGAGAGAGAGAGTTAAAGGCGTCAGGCCACACTACTCACCTGCTGTGTGTGTGTGTGAGGTGAGTATGTGAAGAGGGCTCGGGGCCTGCCTACGACACACACACACACACACACACACACACACACACACATACACACACACACACACACATTACCACAAGGTTTATAGAATGAAGTGAAAACATTTGCCTGAGGTGTTTGTATTCATGGGAGAGTAAATTAATACTCCCTTATGATTTATTCTCAAACTACATAGTGAGAGAGAGAGAGAGAGAGAGAGAGAGAGATCTTCACTACAAATGACTCATCTTCTCAAACAAACTACAACATTTTCTCTTAAGGAATAAACACGAAAAAATCAATCATACAACTTCAGGTAAAATGACTAAGACAAGTTTATTTTATTTACGACATTTTAAACATAATTCGTCCTTTGTATGACGTGAAGATTCCTCCCTTCCTATCACATCTTCCCTTCCTTGCATCTTCCATCCTTTCTCCCTCATCCTCCTACCCTTCCCTTCTCTCTCTCTCTCTCTCCCTACCATCCTTCCTCCCTCAATCCCCTTTCCTCCTCTCCCTCCCTTCCTCCCTTCCTCTCTTTTCCCTCTCCCTCTTTCCTTCCTCCCTACCTCAGTCCCCTTCCCCTATCTTCTTCCTCCCTCAATCCCCTTTCCTCCTCTCCCTCCCTTCCTCTCTTCCCCCTCTCCTCCCCTTCCTCCCTACCCTAGTCCCTTTCCCCTCTCCTCCCCTTCCTCCCTACCTCTCTTTCCCCTCTCCTCCCCTCACCCTCCCTCCCTCCCCCGGGCAGGTATTAGCGATAAGCGGGAGAGATAGAGCACACACTCGCACCCTGCCAGCCGCTACTGCCGCGATAAAGCCAACACAGGGAGGCGTGTGGAGGCGTGTGGAGGCGCACAGATAACACACCAGCGGCTTTGTTACCTGTGGGAGAGACACGGAGGCGCACAGATAACACACCAGCGGCTTTGTTACCTGTGGGAGAGGAGCGGGTGGCTGGGGGCTTGGATAATGT